AATTATCTTATGGAAGGGAGGAGATAATAATGTTTCATACCCGTATTTTAAACTCTTTTCATGCTCCCGGATTTGCCACTAAGTTTTCAGGCTATTTCCAAAGGGATGTTGTATAGATAACCTTCCCCATGTAAAAACGGCGGTATAGAGCGACTCCTTTCACGTTATGTTATACATAAACAGTCAAGAAAGGAGAAAATAATATTTCAAACCCGTATTTTAAGTAATTTCGATGCGAAAAATGCGAGGCTCCCAGATGTGCCACTAAGTTAATAGAGGGCGTTTGCATAGACAGCCCCCCGTCCTAAAGAGAAGCTATATACTTATCTAAACGGGTTACAGAACGATTCCGTTTACGTTTGTTTATACCTAAATAGCTGAGGAAGGAGAAAATAGTATTTCAAACTCGTATTTTAAACTATTTCCATGCGAAAAATGCGAGGCTCCCAGATGTGCCACTAAGTTTTAAGGCTATTTCAATAGGGACGTTTGCATAGACAGCCCCCCGTCTTAAAGGGAAGCTATATAGTTTTCAAAACGGGACAGAGGGCGATTCCTTTGACGTTATTTTATGCCTAACTAGTTAAGGAAGGAGCAAATAGTACTTCAAACCCGTATTTTAAAGTATTTTGATGCGAAAAATGCGAGGCTCCCAGATGTGCCACTAAGTTTTAAGGCTATTTCAATAGGGACGTTTGTATAGACACAACACTATCTTAAAGAGAAGCTATATAGTTTTCCAAACGGGTTACAGAACGATTCCGTTTACGTTATGTTATACCTAAATAGATGAGGAAGGAGAAAATACTATTTCGAACCCGTATTTTAAACTATTCACATGCGGAAAATGCGAGGCTCCCAGATGTGCCACTAAGTTTTCAGGCTATTTCCACTGGGATGTTTGTATAGATAACCCCCCGTGTTAAAGGGAAGCTGTATAGTTCTCCAAAGGGGGTATTGAGCGACTCCTTTTACGTTATGTTGTACCTTAATAGTTAAGGAAGGTGAACATAGTATTTCAAACCCGTATTTTAAAGTATTTTGATGCGAAAAGTGCGAGGCTCCCAGATGTGCCACTAAGTTTTCAGGCTATTTCCACTGGGATGTTTGTATAGATAACCCCCCGTGTTAAAGGGAAGCTGTATAGTTCTCCAAAGGGGGTATTGAGCGACTCCTTTTACGTTATGTTGTACCTAAATAGTTAAGGAAGGTGAACATAGTATTTCAAACCCATATTTTAAAGTATTTTGATGCGAGAAATGCGAGGCTCCCAGATGTGCCACTAAGTTTTAAGGCTATTTCAATAGGGACGTTTGTATAGATAACCCCCCGTGTTAAAGGGAAGCTGTATAGTTCTCCAAAGGGGGTATTGAGCGACTCCTTTTACGTTATTTTATGCCTAACTAGTTAAGGGAGGTGAACATAGTATTTCAAACCCGTATTTTAAAGTATTTTGATGCGAAAAATGCGAGGCTCCCAGATGTGCCACTAAGTTTTAAGGCTATTTCAATAGGGACGTTTGTATAGATAACCCCCCGTGTTAAAGGGAAGCTGTATAGTTCTCCAAAGGGGGAATTGAGCGACTCCTTTTACGTTATGTTGTACCTAAATAGTTAAGGAAGGTGAACATAGTATTTCAAACCCGTATTTTAAAGTATTTTGATGCGAAAAATGCGAGGCTCCCAGATGTGCCACTAAGTTTTCAGGCTATGTCCACTGGGATGTTTGTATAGATAACCCCCCGTGTTAAAGGGAAGCTGTATAGTTCTCCAAAGGGAGTATTGAGCGACTCCTTTTACGTTATGTTATACCTAAATAGTTAAGGAAGGTGAACATAGTATTTCAAACCCGTATTTTAAAGTATTTTGATGCGAAAAATGCGAGGCTCCCAGATGTGCCACTAAGTTTTCAGGCTATGTCCACTGGGATGTTTGTATAGATAACCCCCCGTGTTAAAGGGAAGCTGTATAGTTCTCCAAAGGGAGTATTGAGCGACTCCTTTTACGTTATGTTATACCTAAATAGTTAAGGAAGGTGAACATAGTATTTCAAACCCGTATTTTAAAGTATTTTGATGCGAAAAATGCGAGGCTCCCAGATGTGCCACTAAGTTTTCAGGCTATTTCCACTGGGATGTTTGTATAGATAACCCCCCGTGTTAAAGGGAAGCTGTATAGTTCTCCAAAGGGGGTATTGAGCGACTCCTTTTACGTTATGTTGTACCTAAATAGTTAAGGAAGGTGAACATAGTATTTAAAACCCATATTTTAAAGTATTTTGATGCGAAAAATGCGAGGCTCCCAGATGTGCCACTAAGTTTTCAGACTATTTCCACTGGGATGTTTGTATAGATAACCCCCCGTGTTAAAGGGAAGCTGTATAGTTCCCCAAAGGGGGTATTGAGCGACTACTTTTACGTTATTTTATGCCTAAATAGTTAAGGAAGGTAAAAATAGTTTTTCAAATCAGTTTATAAGTGCACTTAATACAAGTGTATAGTGTTATACGCTTCAACGGTTATATCACGGCGTCGGGTGGCTGCAGGAATGGGCTTCATTACCCTGATGAAAGGAATCGAGCTCGGCAGTTTCGGCGTGACTTGCCAAAACTTGATTGAGACACTGAGCTACCTTATAGCTAATATGGACATATTTTCTTCACACATATTACATTTACAAATATTACCGCGCACACTGGAATCTGTTGAGACAGGACTTTAACTGATCAGCATTTGTAATACAAGGCGATATCAATTGTGCCGAATGTACTATGATTCATAATAATACTTCTTTGAACTTTGTTTCCATTTACATGTGTTATCATCTGTTATAATAATCCTAATACGGACCTCTGTCTAAATCAGACTAACTTTTGACCCCACAACAAGTAAAACGTTCATTTCACCTGGATGTCAAAACAATGACTCAATGAAGTCCAAAGCAGATATTCCACTGCACTGCACAATACACATTGAACGTCAAGAGCCCCTTGCATGAATGCGCAATGCGGATGTGATAGGGTAATTCTCTCAAATGTTGGAGGCAAAAGGAATTTCAAAGCTTTGTACTTATAGATTGCGGTGTTCTCAGCATTCCAGAGAATTCTGCGCTCGTCCTCACGGTAGACTACACCAAATGCATGGTGATAAATGATGATTGGAGATCTCCATTTGTTTGTTGTTTAACGCCACACTCACCAGTATTCTAGCTATATGACGGTGTCTGTAAATAATCGAACCTGCACCAGACAATCCAGTGATTAACATCATGAGCATCGATCTACACAATTTGGATACAATGCCATACATCAACTAAGTCAGCGAGCCTGACCACCCGATCCCGTTAGTCACCTTGCTGACGACCAATTCTAACACGGCGCTTGACGGGTTAATATTGTTAGTAGCGGGTGACCACGCCTGTATGAACACCGCCAAGCCAATAGTCCTTCTCCCAATGAACGTCCGTATGCCGCGTGATTGCGTTATCAATTCGAATTACGAATTCCCCGATGTCTAACAATAACATCAGAAGAGGGTCGGAATTTGCTCACGTGAGAAGGCACTGTCTTCATCTGACAGCCTACCTACCCACAAACCTACAAATGTAGGTTTAAAAAAAGCATAACTAAGAAATCATTTTTACGAAATAGGATTGTTAAAAATACTTAAACAAAAATGCCATTAGAATGTCCACTTAAAGAACGATTTTGTAAATTCTGTAATTGTGATACTGTTGAAGATGAAGTTCATTTTCAATCTTACTCTGATCTTAGATTTTGGGAAAGATGTAGCTTCCCTAGATCTTATTTTATATACGTAGTAGTTGAAAAGCTTGTACATTAATTTAATGTCAAGTTCTACTTTTCTTAATCCCCCTCGCCGCACTTCGATCTGAAATGCATAATTGGCGTCTCAACGACCATGGGAGGTATTTACAGGTTGTTACAATTAGCAATCCCCGTCATTTGAATCGGCCAGATGTTGTATTTTTAGTAATGAATTGGGTATTGTTCGTCATACATGATGCAACACACTAATGCAATATTTTCGTCTTCGTTAACGGTACCAAAACAACTAGAGATGTAATGATGATTTCCACCGATATTGTGCAGTCTGGATCAATTAGAATTGAACTAAAGGGTTTGGCAATGACACTATGGTCATATAATTTCGTCTACCGTAAACAAACCATTTAATCGACTTAGAATTGATTAAGTATGCAACTAACTCTTCTGACAAACACTAAATGTATTTTGATATTAAAAAGTACAGAACATTGAAAAGTCTCAAGAAGTCGGCGTGAGAGTTCTGGAGACAGATGGTGAGCTGGGGGCGTCCCGTATTTCCACAGCCCTGTAATACGGGATCTGGCGAGGGAGACTTGCCGCCAGTCTATGTAACCCAACTCTCCCCCGGGTTCACGCTTACTGGCACTTCTGTGTGGCTCCCGGCACACGGCACATAGGAGCCTTCCCCCACTCAAGATTATTGCACTTATATAGCGACGTGCATGTACGTGTGTGTGTTTGTGTGGCTGTTTGTAGTAGTCCGGACTGATGCCGATTTATAGTGTTAGCACACTGTGAAACCATGCCGCAGTTTAACATGAATACGTATTTGGTTACGTTTGGAAGTGCCTTGGGAACATTACTTTCGATTAAAAAGAACTTTGACATTGTGGCATGTGCTAACCACCCGTAACTTGACCCGATGAACTTTACCACGGAAACATGTGACATCACTACAAGTTGTGTAGAAATGGCCGCTATTGTACAGCAGCCGATACGGAGGCATTTGTGGACAAAATGATGTTTCCTTGTAATTAAATTGTGTAAAGGTGAGTGTTCTAACGATTTATTTCACATTTATTGCTTGTCGAAGTCAGCGGGTTGGTTTATCGTAATGCTTTTCTTAATACCACCCGCGAGGGTATACATAGTTGTATTATTTTGGCGACGGCTCATTTTTGTGTGTGAACGTAATGTATGAAATATTTACTGACCAGTAACGAGTTCCCCTGCGCACAGCCTCCAAATAACACCGTTTCGTTGTTGCTGGTATGAAGTCTCACATAAACTGCTGCACGCTGGTTGTTTTAGTGTTGACGTTGTGGAAGGGTCCATTCTTATAAAGGGTAAGAGAGGTATGGATATTGTCCTGAAACTTGACGGCTGATTGCACATACTTGTACATCTTACCGACTGTACAGTTTGTCGGAAAGGGAAGGGTGGGTGGAGGTAGGTGGAGAAAGGGGAGAGGAGGTGGTGAGGGGAGGATCTATTTTCCTTAGGCTGTTAATATAGACGACCATTCCTAATTGAAATGTTTATATTATGATTTTCGGATTGAATAATATGTTATTATCAGCATTTCCCAAACAGATCAAGCTTTGTGTAAAGTTGATATTTCCTGTAAGGTATGTGTGCAGAAAAGGTTCAAGGTCAATCCATAGCTTGTGTGTTTCTTCACATTCCAAATAAGCAACGTTCATTCCCTTCTTTGCAAAATCCATACAAACTATGTACAAGCATTTTCATTGATAGTATCGTTGTTTTTGCTTGTATAAATAGTCATTTAAATGGCCATTTTTGCCCATTTGTTTTCTGTGTGGCGAGTTGACGGCTTTCGGTCGATATTATTTCATAGCAATAAAAAATTGGGAGGTATCATCTATCGGAATCGATAGAATAATCACCCTAGACAGTAGACAGGGTAGATGTGACGTTTTTGTGCCCGATTTGCGATTTCACTTCAGAAACAGAGATACAAGGCGAGCGGCGCTGTAGGAGAGTCTGGCCTTGTGTGAAGGTATAACAGGATAGTGCATTTCTAGAAATATTCAAGGAACTACACAAGGGCCTTTGATCGGGTGGTCAGGTTTGCTGATTTGATTCAGGCATGTCATCGTATCCGAATTGCGTGTATCAGTGCTCATGATACAAATCACTGAACTATCTGGTCCAGATTCGATTAATTACAGACCGCCGTCATATAGCTGAAATATTGCTGAGTGTGGCGTTAAACAATAAACAAACACACTAATGTGTCCCACTCACCGTACAGCAACCACGCTTCCCTCCCCCCGGCAGCCAACATTTAGGGAGGCATGTGTCATGCGATCACTGTGTTAGTTACATGAAGAGTAAGAAGAATAACATTTTATTTAAGTGTCACGTGTGGTACACGTGACATATCGGAATGTTGGCTGTGGTGTTGTTATTTCAGTCGTCTCTCATACGCCTTCACATTTACACGCTCCCAGTTTATAACAAACATTTCATCCCAGCCCTGAACCACCCATTATAATTTCACAAACGCTGTATAAAGAGAACATCAACAACCTCAAAAGGGTCACTTGTGCATATATTTCTAGACTACGTTTTTTCCACACATGAATGAGTTCAACCTAGGCTTTTCTCTATTGGGGGTAAACATGGCTATTAATGTCTTCTTTGACAGGCATTTAGAAGTTGGAGTACTACGTAAGGATAATAATTTATGGCTGAACAACTTCTTTGGCTATTAATGTTTATGTGCGACAAGTTTCCTTAACCTCTCCGTCACAACTGTACACAAACCCATAAAGTTCGGTCAGATTTGCTAGAAAACTGCTTTTCTGGCTTCATTTAATATAAACGCGTCATAGGACTATAAAAAGAGCATATATCAAAATAACACAAATTGCCCTTATCTAGTCTGTCCTAACTGACACTGTGATTACCCTTAAAATGTACTTTTACAGGTAAAATGATGATCAACATAGAAAATATTCGTGTGTTGTCATGTATGTATGAACCGGCCTATAACCTGAGGTAATTACCGGACACCTGTCACGAGGCGATGACCTCACACAGTCTCGTGCATTTCCCACAGGTGCAAATGTCACCTGAATTGGGGATGTCTCAAAATATTGCTGATTGTACTTAATTTGCATGTGCGTTGATTTAGAATATGTACTGCATTATATTTGCGTGGATACGTGATGGAATATTTAAGAGCTATGAAATGGGATGAGTATTGAAAGGTTACGGTTAATTAGTCCAGAAGTATTTGTTGTTATACAGATGATTTCTTGAGGTAGCATTTACTCCGCTGATGACGTATATGAATCTGTACTTTTGAATGATCTGTTATGTCTTGCCACGAACCCTTTACACTCAGCCAAGATAGACACAACAGGGTTGAGCTCAGTGTGTCTGACTGGCGTACGTAAGACAACGTGACTGTGTTGTGCTGCCACCATGAGTTGAACTTTCGTTTTCCTATGGTCTGAAGTCGACAATGTCATATATTCCTGTATGGTCTCTTTCAGACTTTTCATGGTTTGGGCAACAGTGTCTGATTCCCGGACGTTATATTATCTGGCGTTGTCCATGACAATGACACTGACGTTGTTTAAAATGGGCAATAGCTTAAGTTCCAACCAGCCTATGAACACACCACCTCTTATAATAATTTCCTTATGAAAATCACCAGGTTTTTTTTTCGCCTCGAAAACTAGCACACATCCATCAAAAAGTCCCATATCATGGGTTGCAGCGTGCAAAATAATTACACGATTACCTTTACCTGATGGTCTATGGGTACGTTTAGTCCATCTGCCGAGTCAGTGGAATGATTCATCGAGGTAAATTATCTGGACGCACTGACTGTGATAGGTAAGACTGGTGCGGAGATAATGTGACCTCATAGACAGGAAGGAATAGTTTCCCCTGAAAAGTGCTCGGTCATCGCCACGCGCAGTGCATCGAAATACCATCTCTTGGAGGGCTATAGTTAGTGCAGTCCGGGAAACATTGATTGTATCTTTAATTTCCTCCCATATTCTACAAGTTCGGGTTACCTTCTGCTCATAAAGCGTGTACACTATACCCCTAATCACCCTGTATCAAAGCTGTCTGATATCCTTTTACGTCCCAGTTTTGTTTTTGAGACCACCCCTATACCTGTTTTGTTTTATTTATCATAACGTAGACTTGATGGTATGAATTGAAAACCCAGTAGCTTGGGCAGTTCGGTAATTCATCCTCTCTATATTAATAAATGGTTTCCTTCTATCTCTCTAAAGTGTAAAGAACTTGTATACATTTCCCAGTACAGACTCCATATCGTGTACAAATGGTTATGGCTATGCAAGTGTAATGTAACATGCATCATGGGAGCAATGCTAACAAAAAAACGCATTTTTTTTGTGTGGATTAGATGTTTTATGAAGACAACATTATCATTATAACGGAGTCACGTGCGCATATTTCTATAATCTGTTTTAGACTGCCATCTTTCGACTTGGAATAAATGTGAACTTCCTGTTTTAGTTCAAATATTTCTCCATCCGTTTTGGATGAGCAGAATCTAGTATTATCAGACAGTTTTAGGAATTGCAACTACAGATGTCATCGCAAACGTTCAATGTACAAATGTATAGTCAGCCTCTAAACTTGACCTGTGTGCCCATTTGTCAAAACCATTCATCATTCGGTTTCACTGGAATTTCTTTGGCAACAATTCTACACGTTATATGCGTAGTATACAATATCCACCATAGCCCTGCACAGTAGACACTGTATCACGTACAAACATACATTCAATCTATGTTATATAACTTGAAGACCGAGGGGAAAGTCGGAACTACCGTTGCTGATTTATTAATGAAGTTAAAAAGCGAGACAAAACAGCCCCGAAAGACTCGGATGCATTCGAAATTTAATCAAAGTATAAAAAATATCTTAACCACTTTGTAGAAGAGTAGTGGTATTAAATACTCCAAATCCTACACTTAAACTGCATGTTAAGTTCTTGTGGACATGAAAAAAAGCGACAAAACCCTTTCCATATTCATAAGAAATCGTCGACTGTCCGATTCCGACCATATCATAAGCATGTGTAAATGATTCACTATCAAATAGTGATGATACCAGGTGTTCGCGAAAATAGGTGAAAGAAAAAAAGAGTAGCCAATGTTTATCCAAAGATCAGTAATTGAGGTGTTAAACGTGCACCCTTTGAACAGACATCGTTATTATTTGGTTATGTGTGGGCAGAGACCATAAAATAGATATGGACTCTGTGAAAAATATTACAGCCAAACGTTCTCCTTATGGCCCTCAAGTAACATGTTCGTTTTCTAGCATAAGTAAATTCGTGTGCATCTTCCCGACGAAAGAGTGAACTGACTATGAAAGTCCACTTTCCACCCTTGCCGAACTTGGTTGCAATTATGGTGTTATATTTTGGCTGGACTAACGAGTCTATGCATAGTCCAATCAAAATCGCACAACGAAATCAACATCCGGTTTGTAAACATATTTCGGTCGACTGCAGGATTTGCAAAGCATGTGTTCCGTCAACAGATATTTTCCAAATCTTTCATGTTTTTAATCAAGGTGCTCACGTGATTTGATGCACTTCGCGAAGTAAGGCCCGTTTTATTACAATATTTACAATATTACAAAATCTTGATTATCGATCGGATCGCCCTCACTAGGCGCTGCCATTTCGTTTGAAACAAATGCAAGTGATATGAGAGTTGGAATCTGACTGGTCCATAGAAGGGACATAACTCGAAATAGCCACTGGCGGTGCTGGTATCGAACCCAGATATTCCGGCCTAATTCGGCAAGGGTGGCAACTGGACTTTCATAGTCAGTTAACTCCCTTGTCTCGGGAAGATGTCGTGTGGTGTGAGGTTTACTATTCATTTTGTACGTAGTCCAATTAAATTGACCACAGCGACAATATAAAATAGAAAGTCTCGGTGGGCAATTTAAATAGCGTCTATAACAAACAAATGAAGATTCATGCTTGAACTCTTTATCGCAATTTATATACATTGATGTACTGGTGATGGACCCCACATGATGAAATGCCTGAGGTATTTGGCTGTGAGGGCTGGCTTTATTTACAAATCAACTGGTGGACTCGACCGTCTCAGCTTGGACAGCAAGGCTCTGGTTTCACTGTCCATCTCTCCCCACTTCCCACGTGAGGGGTCTGGAATGGGATGGTGGAGTAAGACAGGGAATCAAGTCGTCCAACAGTTCTTAAGTCGTAGCTCGTCAGCTTAAGGCGAGTGGCGAGTTATAGGCATATCAAGGCGCACCACAATATGGTTGAGTGAGTGAGTGAGTTGGGTTTAACGCCGCTTTTAACAGTATTGCAGTTATATCACGGCGTGTCAGCTTAATGTGGGAGGAAAGCCCCAAGTGATGCAGGTCTCAGACGTTTACCACTTCGGTGAAACCCACGAGCACGGGTATGGTGCTGACAAACCTAGAAACATAATCGGGGCGAACCGGGATTCAATGTGACCAGTCTAAGAGGATGGCAACGTAACGGATTTTTTACTGACAGTTTCTATTTAGATTTTAAGATTCAATATGTTCATTACTTGTGAAAGAGAAAATACACAAGATGGTTGGCGAACACAAACTCATGAGTTAATCAGCTAACAGTATAGCTGGAGATAACAGAGTACAATTATAAGACGGCGACTGGCAATACAAGGATTAGTAACATGTGTTTATCCTGGAGCGTATGGACAAGGATTTGGTTGGTTGGTTGGTTGGCTGTTTAACGCCGCACTCAGCAATATCCCAGCTATATGACGGCGGTCTGTAAATAATCCAGTCTGGACCAGACAATCCAGTGATTGATATCATGAGCATCGATCCACGCAATTGGGATCGATGAATTAATATCATGAGCATCGATCAACGCAATATGGATCGATGACATCATGAGCATCGATCCACGCAATTGGGATCGATGACATGCATCAACCAAGTCAGCGTGCCTGACAACCCGATCCCTTTTAAAGTGTATACTGCCAAAAGAATATTTGAAAATCAAGTTTACAAAAGAGACAATATAATTGGAGACCAGATACAATTATCTTAATGACAGGGCAAGAAATAGTCTCGAAATACCTTGTGTCCTGATCCGGTCACATTTACCTGTCTTAAATTGTCTGATCAGGTGATGTTCCTCATTAAAGATATCTTCAACCTCGAGGTCAAGGTCAATGTCACTGGTTTTGATCACGTGTCCAGTCTCAGCCAGAGCAGACAGCTGAAACAAGGGGTACGGGACGAGTAAAGGCGTGAATGAATCGTCTTAGTGGGATGACATGCCATATACCTTTATTACTTTGGTTAAATGCACAAACAAAGCTGTGGTACTACCAGACCAAGGGTCATAATCTGCAATTAATCTGGGATTCGAACTCACGATTAGCGAATCTTGTAAACTTTGAACGTCGAGTTGTGGCGTCTTGTGCCACTGCCCGAATTGACTGAATAGACTTGTTATCTCGCATAATTTTAAGTAAATGATCCACAGGAATTACCTTTTGAAGGAGGGGTATATCCGATGTCATTTCACTCTGGTTGCTTGGCGACACACGGCCTGTGAGATCTGCGTCTATCATCGGTTGCTCTTCTGCTTCTAGAATAATATTTGGTGTATCAGCTTATGTTCTATTTCATCTTTCATACAGGGGTAAAAGATTTAATACTCCTTTTATTCTAACAAGATGTGAGTTGAAATTGGGTTTAACGTCGCGTCCAAGATTACTGCACTTATATAGCGACGTGCATGCACGTGTGTGTTTGTGTGTGTGGCTGCTTGTACTAGTCCAGACTTATACCGACTTTTATAGTGGTAGCCCTCTGTAATACTATGCCGCAGTTTAACATGGATACCCCACTCAGATACAGTATACCGACTCCGAGCCGACTTGTCCTTGTTTTAGCCTCTTAATGCCGAGCGCCCGACAGGGTAACTACAAGAACCATCTTTCAACGTCTTTTTGGTATGACGCGGCCGGGCGGCACCAAACGTTCAAAAGCAATATCAAGAACTATAATCTCTACTCAGTATTGTTTGCTCTTTCTATGGATAGATCCATCCATCATCTTTTAACGTCGTTTTGGTATGACGAGGCAAGGGATCGCAAGGATCGCACCCACAAACTTCCGCGTTTCGGGCAGACGCTTTATCCACCAGACCACGGATGCGCCTATTCTTTCAAGAAACTAAGCTCCAGCGTATCGAACGTCTTAATAATAAGTATATGTAAATATGTGACGGTCTGCTATCGAAGTTACACCTCAAAACACCTGACTTCACACACTAGATATACACCCCTGCTTTGAGCTCACACTGGGTTGGTTTGTTTGTTGTTTAACGCCGCACTCAGCAATATTCCAGCTATATGACGGCGGTCTGTAAATACTCGAGTCTGGACCAGACAATCCAGTGATTAATATCATGACCATCGATCCACGCAATTGGGATCGATGACATGCATCAGCTAAGTCAGCGAGCCTGACCACCCGATCCCGTTAGTCGCCTTTTACGACAAGCATAGTCACCTTTTACGGCCTTTCACACTGGGTCAATTCAATAAGGTCTGGAGAATGTATTTACCATAACCGTTAAGTATATTACGTAAGTTACACCCTGCATACATCGATGTACATTAATCAATGCCTGACTGAGGTTTTCTTTATGTCTCAAAGTGTACTGACAAATGTACGTATGAACAAGAAACTGGTTGGTTGTAATGTGAATGTCAAAAGCTTGTAATGTATGAAACTGACGCATGAACCAGGAAATCAAGCACCAGATGAACATTTATGAACTAATTGTGAATTAGTTTTAGCGGTATAGTCCCTTTTCAGTTTTGAGTAATCTTGAGAGATTAATAAGTTTATTAATTATATAAGAAGGTTAATTTCAAACCACAGGCAGTACCTGCATCTTCATGATCTAAGACCGATTTTTAGATTTTCAAAGAGCATCACATCTTTTCGGAGGATATCCTTGAGTGAGTGAGTTGGGTTTAACGCCGCTTTTAACAGTATTCCAGTTATATCACGGCGTGTCAGCTTAGTGTGGCAGGAAAGCCCCAAGTGATACATGTCTCAGACGTTTAGCACTTCGGTGAAACCCACGAGCACGGGTATGGTGCTGACAAACCTAGAAACAATCGGGCCGAACCGGGATTCGAACCCACAATCATAGGTTTCTGGCGTGCCCAAGGGACGCAACTCTGCATAGCGAATCGCGGAGCCTCAGACGACTGGGCCACCTGTGCCTCCCATAGATGCTTGAAACAGTTTTAGAAAGTTCAATTAGTGGTAACGGACTTAATCATAAACGTAGTTGATATGTCTGAAGATGATAATCCCCCATGGGATTCCAGTTAGAATTGGTCCATATCTACCTGTGTTTGTCGTACGAAGCTATTGTGTATCGGTGGCCAAGTTCGATGACTTGGTTGATTTTGCCCTTCCCTCCCAATGGATTCATTGCTGCGGATAATCGAGGTTCTCTGATGATCGAGGTTCTCTGATAATATCGAGGTTCTCTGATGATAATCGAGGTTCTCTGATAATCGAGGTTCTCTGATAATCGAGGTTCTCTGATAATCGAGGTTCTCTGGTCAATCTCTGGCGTTGGCATTATGTATTTACCACAAGCATGGAGTACGGTAGATCTATTCTATCACGAAATGCCTCAGGGGTCTGTGGTGGTTACATACGTACCAATACCCTCTGTGCGCTGCTGCCACTGTGTGGGGGAGTCGGGCCTGGAGTAGTAGTAGCTGTACCAGGAGACGGCCACGTGGCGGGGGTCACGCCTCAGGAACCTGTCCCTCTCCCCAGCACTTCCAGACCTGTCTTCATTCATGGCTCGCTGGGAAGTCTGCGCGAGTTTCTGCTGGAAGATCACGTGTCTACAAATAAACCCAATTCACAGACTTAAGCCGTTTTGTAGCATGTGGGACTATGCAAACAGAACTATTTTAGCATAGTCAATTTCAACCGACTTCATTTCACATCAAGGGCGGGTAACTGTCAATGACAGGTTTTTTGTGTACTTCATGACCTTTGTCATTTTTGTGTGTAAATAAATAGCATCATTGCAGGAACTTTTCAGGATTATTTTATATGAGCTGTGTTTTGTTGGGAGTAATTATGGGAGAAAAAACAACACTTGACTTCGAACAGCTACGACTTTGTTGAGACCCAGGTGGGTTAAGATGTTGGCAGTTCAAGGGTCATATTCGGGAGACTGAAACCAACGATCAGTAGATCTTAGGGGTGAGTGAGTTGGGTTTAACGCCGCTTTTAACAGTATTCCAGTTATACCGGTGTGTCAGCTTAATGATGGAGGAAAGCCCGAAGTGATGCAGGTCTCAGACGTTTACCACTTCTGTGAAACCCACGAGCACGGGTATGGTGCTGACAAACCGAGAAACATAATCGGGGCGAACCGGGATTGGAATCTACAATCATAGGTTTCTGGCGTGCCCAAGGGACGCAACTCTCTACAGCGAATCGCGGCGCCTTAGACTGGGCCACCCGTGCCCCCAGATCTTAGGACAACACATCGTGTGTAACACCGTGTAATGATGTTTTACTCCGGAGTCAGCGATATATATGCAACAGTCCAGCAAACTGACGGCTGGTTGTCTTCGATCTGAAGGAGGTGAAGACACACATAAAACCACCCGATCTTCATTTGTCGGCTCTTACAAGCACGTGTCACCAGGGCCTGCACTGGGAACTGACGATGTACATACGATAATATATGAATTTGGGTTTTTACCTTGACTCAGCTTCTGACATATGGTGTTTCATCATCGGGACGGATGCCGTTTCTCTGTCTTCATGGAAATCGACACCAAGGATTGGTTTTAGCTGGGGCATTCTCTGGTCATTGAATACCGGAAGCAAACGGTGTACAGCTGTTCCGCTCATTCCGACGTCTGCAACAACATTGTGTGTTAGTCTTATGTTCAACGTCGACCTCAGCAATATTCCAGTTATATGATAGCAGTTTGTAGATTTAAAAAAGCGCGAAAACATCCTTAAGTAAGCACATTTATGGTGCTGACAAACCTAGAAACATAATCGGGGCGAACCGGGATTCGAACCCACAATCATAGGTTTCTGGCGTGCCCAAGGGACGCAACTCTGCACAGCGGCGCCTTAGACGACTGGGCCACAGATCGACGTTCAATACAATGTGTATACTACAATACGTACGTCGATCGGCGTGTTATGTAGAAGACCTGATAAGTGTACATGTCTCCGAGACGGGTTATTTCCGAACATCTGACGACATGGGAATAAAATGCGCCACCATCACCTGGCTGCACCAAGCGTGACTTTCTTCGCATAATATTTGTTTGTTGTTTAACCGCCACACTCAGCAATATTCCAGATATAAGCATGGGTTGCTGAAGACCTATTCTGACCAGTCTTCTTATTATACCAAACTATGAACGCATCTAAGTATAGACGTCGATCTGTGGATATCCCCGACCCCGAGATGTTACACTCGTGATCAAAGTAAAACGATCGTGTACGCATACTACAAATGTTATCAAGTATTGCGATGATGTAAATGCGTATACTACAAATACACCCGTGAAACCCGGGGTAGTATAGGTCTTCAGTAACCCATGATGGCCGTAAAAGGCGACCATGCTTGTCGTAAGAGGCGACGAACGATATCGAGTGGTCAGGCTCGCTGACATGGTTGATGCATGTCATCGTATATGAATTGCGAAGATTGATGCTCATGATGGCAATCACTGGATGTCTGGTCGAGACTCGATTATTTACTGGCCGCCATCATATAGCTGGAATATTGCTGAGTGCGGCGTTGAACAGAGAACAAACAAACTAAAGTTCTGTCGGAAATGCCAGAAAACTGCTTTTCTGGCTTCATTTAATAAATACGAGTCATAATTCTATAAAAAGAGCATATATCAAAATAACGCAAATTGCCCTTATCTAGCCTGTCCTAACTGACACTGTGATTACCCTTAAAATGTACTTTTACTGGTAAAATGATGATCAACATAGAAAATATTCGTGTGTTTTCATGCATGTATGAAATGACCTATAACCCAGTTAAAACACATCTGTGACGTCTTCCATCGTTTGAACGCTCCATTATTTTTCAGGAATGGAGAGATGCTTGTCAACTACATTATCTTGAAGCAACATTTGAATTAATTTCCACTTGGAACAGACGGAACTATTTTTTTTACATTTATTTACAAGTGAATATTTTCATTTTTCCCCCGAAAACATGTGTCGCCAGCGGGGTTTGAACCGGCATCGTTAGATTTGAAAACGTGTAATTGTCAACCTCAGCTACTGCGGCACATGAAGGCATGATGTGAATTTAACTATTAAATATTTTCATAATTTTGCATAATGCTTAAAAGCTCAAAATAATATGTATATATTTTGTGTTAGAGCAGGTTACCCACAACAATGTTCATATTTATAGATAGTTAGAGAAACCTTTGACGAGAAAAAACAAATAAGGTAACATAAATATCGCTTGTTCGGGGCTCTATATTTCCAATTATACCCATCAGCATGTATTAACAATGTGCAAGCGATTGATAAATACTAGTTTAGGACCCAACAAAATTATGAAGAGCCGTGTACCATGCATTGTAAATGTCAACTCGCCACGGAGCTTGTCGCACGTGCAACAGCGGCAGAGAACGCATTCCTCGTGCATCACGCAAGGTCGACTCACGCAGTATAAATACAGACAAAAAATAGTTCTGGTTTATTTTTTAAATATTTTCAACTACAGAATATTTTGTCAAAGTGTAAAAGTAGGGATTAGTTTTAAGTAGGGGAATATCCTCGTAACTCTCCATTCCTTAAAAATAATGAGCCTCGGCTCCATTATTTTAAAGGAATGGAGAGTTCCTAACACCTGTCCCGAGGTGATGACCTCACACAGTCCCGTGCATTCTCCCAGGTGCAAATGTCACCGAGTTGGGGGTGGTCTCAAAATATTGCTGTTATTGTACTTAATTGACATGCGTTGATGAGGTAGCAATTTAGGATGTGTACTGCATTATATTTGCTTGGGAACATGATGGACTAGTTAAGAGCTATGAAACGGGATGAGTATTGGACGGTTGCGGTTTTGGAATCCAGAAGTATTTGTTGGTCTACAGATGGTTTCTTGAGGTAGCATTTATCTCCGCTGATGACGTATATGAATCTGTACTTTTGAATGTTGTGTTATGTCTTGCCACGAACCCTGTACATTTCGCCAAGATAGACGCAACAGGGTTGAGCTCACAATGTCTGACTGGCGTACGTAAGACAACGTAACCGCGTTGTGCCGCCAGCACATATGTCTTGTACTTTACTGGTTTCTTATTCAGCCGAATTTTGTCCATGAGTTGAACTTTCGTTTACATATGGTCTGAAGTCGACCAATGTAATATATTCCTGTATGGTCGCCTTCAGACTACACATGGTTTCGGCGACAGTATCTGATTCCCGGACGGTATATTAACTGGCGTTAACCATGACAATCACACTGACGTTGTTTAAAATGGGCAATAGCTGAAGTTTCAACCAGTCTATGAACACATCACCTCCTATAATTTCCTTATGAAAATCACCAGTTTTCTTTTTCGCCTCGAAAACATCCATCAATAAGCCCCATATCATGGGTTGCAGCGTGCAAAACAATGACACGATTACCTTTACCTGATGGTACCATGGGTGCTTTTTGTCCATCTGCCAATAGCAACATGTAGTCAGTGGAATGATTCACCAAGGTAACGTATCTGGACGCCCTGACTGTGATAGTTATGAATGGTTCGGAGATAATGTGACCTCATAGACAGGATGGAATATTTTCCCCCTGAAAAGTGCTCGGTCATCGCCACGCGCAGTGTATCGAAATCCCATCTCTTGGAGAGCAATAGTGCAGTCCTGGAAACACGAATTGTATCTTTAATTCCTCCCATATTCTACCTCAAGTCAGGGGTACCTTCTGCTCATAAAGCTTGTACACTATACGCCTAATCACCCTGTATCAAGGCTGTCTGATATCCTTTTACGCCCCAGTTTTGTTTTTGAGACCACCCCTATACCTGTTTTGTTTTATTTATCATAACGTAGACTTGATGGTATGGATTGAAAACACCATAGTTTGGGCAGTTCGGTAATTCACCTATCTAAATTAATAAATGGTTTCCCACTGTATCTCTAAAGTGTAAAGAACGTGTATGCATTCCCAAGTACAGATTCCATATCGTGTACCATGGTTATGGCTATGCAAGTGTAATGTAACATGCATCATGGGAGCAATGTTAACAAAACAAACGCAACGTTATTTTATCATTTTAGAAGATGCACATCTAGAATTTTCTCACAATGATTTTTATGTGTGGAGTAGATGTTTTATGAAGACAACACTTATCATTTTAACGGAGTCACGTGCGCATATTTCTATAGTCCGTTTCATACTGCCATCTTTGGACTTAAAATAAATGTAAACTACCCGTTTTCGTTCGAATATTTCTCCTGTAAACTTGTCGATAGGACTTCTTGTGACTGAAATATTTCAAACCACAGGTAGGGCGATCGGTAGTTATTCGATATTTCAATAACAACAGTCTGTGAAAAATTATATCCCTTTTTAACAGGCAAAAAGCAGTTTTCTAGCATTTCCGGCAGTACTTTACAAATACAATTAGATAGTAACAAAAGATTACCGTAAGCCATCTACGTCAAAAACCACCAGAGTACAACTTGAACGAACACGGGGTTAAACAAGGCCATTCTAAACGGCATTGCCCGAATGGACTTCCTATTTAATTATCCACAGTGAACATTATAATCCTTACCTCCAGCGATCGGACAAGACGTCCAAGGCGACGGCGAGGAGCAGTTGATCAGCTCGTCCGAGAATGTCCCAGTCACCATATTCACGAGAAAGTGTTGCGCACATGCAGCTGCGTTGTGGCTATATGTTCAGTCTAGGGGTGAGAAACGACAGTGTTCAGTGAGGAGGAGAATCACATTTATTCATTATTCATAAATTATTTATTAATCGCATAAGTGTTAAGTGGTACTCAATTCGTCATTTATTTGCAGGCTTGTTTGATAATTGTATCATTTCGCCATATACCACGACGCCGAAATTTGGTGTACATAGTTGCGTTCCTCGGACATGCTTGAAACCTATGATTGTGGTTTCGATTCCAGGTACGCCCTGAATTTGTTGGTTTGTTGGCACCATTCCCGTGTTCGTCGGTTTCAACAAGGCGGTAAGCCTCGAAGACAAGCATTCCCCCCACGCCAGATATATCTGAAATCATGTTCAAGCAACGTCAAACTAAACTCTCCCGCTTTCACAGCACGGGTGAGTGAGGGAGTTTTACACCGCTTTTAGAATATTCCAGCAATATCACGGCGGGGGACACCAGAAATGGGCTCCACACAGTAAACCCATGTCGGGAATCGAACCCTGATCTCCGGCGTTACGAGCTAATACTTTAATCACTAGGCTACCTGACATGGTATAACTGTTATTCACAGGCATAATTACCTGAACCAGATATGATGGCAGAATAAGTCCCCAGTAGCATCAGGCAAAACTGTCTCCTGAAAACGGCACCAACCCCAATAAGATAACATATATTTCACATTTTAAGTTAAACTTCTTTCAAACAATAAACTCGAAACTTTAACTAAAAAACGTTTCCGAGAATAAACAAAGTTGTTTATACATACATATATATTGTGAATAAAATTGTACGATGTGAAAATTGAGATTGTACGATGTGAAAAGGTGAGCGTATCCTGATCCACCGTTGGCACCGTCACACACACATGCAAAGGCAGGGCATCTATTCACGTAAAAAGCAGCAACGGGGACACATGTTACAAGTCAAAATCGGAAATTGCATCGGGCATAATTTTAATGAGCAGTCCCTCTTAAAATCACCTTTGGGGCGGTCGGGTAGCCTAGTGTTTAAAGCGTTCGCTCGTCACGCCGAGGACCCGGGTTCGATTCCCGATATGGGTACAATGCGTGATGTCCATTTCTGGTGTCCCCCGCCGTGATATTGCTGGAATACTGCTAAAAGCGGCGTTAAATCAAACTCACGCCGAGGACCCGGGTTCGATTCCCGATATGGGTACAATGCGTGATGCCCATTTCTGGTGTCCCCCGCCGTGATATTGCTGGAATACTGCTAAAAGCGGCGTTAAATCAAACTCACTCACTCACCTTAGGGGTGGTTGTATGTATTGTATAATATCACACCCTCGCTGGTAGTTGTTCATACTTCGTATGATTATGACAATGTTATGACATCTTAAGTGACGAGGTTAACTTCGTAAATTCAAGTGAATATATTCCTCATGAAGGATTTGTTGAGTAAACGTTAAGTACTACCTCGGTCGTCTATTAACTGCATGCCTGTTATTTGTGATGTGTTTGATCAACCGGCCGGGTGGTATATTATATATTTTGTCTTGTACTTTGAATGTATGTATTTTTATACTGCGTGACACGCAAATATAATATTATCTTATCTTATCTTATCTTATCTGTAACCGAATTTGGATGGAATAAACAAGTCTGTTCAGAAATAATGTTAACACAATGGCGATGGGATACGGTGCGTGTTGAATATTGGTTCTTGAAACAGAAAATACCTGAACATTTTTTACTATGCACACACAAACACACGGATATTTTTTTAAGCACACTTTGCTTTTTAGTCATTTCTGTAAGTATTATTCTTTGCTGTCGGAATGGAGTCACTTATTTATTACTTGAGCATTAATAGAAGAAGAAGAAGAAAATTATTTTATTTTCGTGTCACACACTGTACAGCAGTGACAATAAAAATACACAAATAGTGTGTACAGTGTCCGGCCATTATGGCCTACGAGACACGCAGGACGTCACATACATATGAGTAAAAATGAGAAATATCACAGTACATACATATACATAAAAATGAGTTATCACCAGTTATCACCGGTTATCACCAGTTATCAGAACATTCTGATACTAAGATACATGGAACTAGGCTGGTAGAGACGAAAGACACAGTTGTCTTCGCTCATACATGTGGTGAAGAAGCGCGGCTAGGGGTCTGACCACCTTATTGTTCCGCATAAAGAACACGGTCTGATCGGCAGCGGACATCTGTATAAAGTTTGGATTTGATTGAGAAGCTAAATTCAATAAATCATAGCGTAAATCTGTAATAGACATGCATTACCTAGGTTAATTGACCGTCGCGATATTTAATGGTTCCAATTCAGGTGTCAGGACTACAGTACACAGTACATCTCCTGATTGTTGCTGTACACCACTATAGCATTAGCATTTACTTTCAGTGCAGCGGTTCAAAATACAGGAGCAATGCTCTTAAGATAAAATAATAGCCTGATGTATGGAAGACAAGTCCGAGGTCGTTGAGATATATCGGTGAAACCCACCACCATGGATTGACTTAATGACCGACCAAAGCTTCGTCTCACGCTGAACTGAATTATTAAGGAACAAGGGTCGTAATCGGGGTGAATTTTTTATCACAGCAATCAATCAGCGGATTCAATCACGGTTAAAGCAAAGCTGTGTAACCCCTGATTCGGTTATAGATCAATACTGATAAGGATAATAACCACGTTAATTGCGGTTATAATGATTCACTATAACACAAGTTGGTTCAATTTTGTCGTTTTAATACGGATTAGCACAAAAAGCAATACAGCACATGCACAATATGAGCAGATGGTCCTTCCTCTTACAGAATGTGTGATCTAATATTTGTCAAGGAAATCTAACTTGGACCGTTTGTCCATGAATGGAACGCGGCCTCTCAGCAGTTGGTAAAGCAGAGGTTGTTCCGCTCTGTTGAACGTGGCATCTGTAGACAGGAGGAATCTCAGAGAAGCCTGGGACACGAATCCTTCGTTGAAGTTGTATTTGCGGCGCCAGATACTGAAAAATGCAGCCAAGTCCTTCGCTGTAGGGATGCGAGAGTACTTGATATGTGATCCAGTCTGAATGACCATGGTGAACACGGGATAGTGTGGACTTAACGATATACGGTCATATCCTTGGATGTGATGGGGAGGGTGGTCAGAGAGGTGGCGCCTGGCTACTCGTCGGTATTTGGGTGAGTTGAGATACTCCCCTGGAGACCACCCACATTTTTCAGTGTCTTCATTTTCGTCGCTTTCCTTGATTGCGTTCATTTCGTTTGACTTTCGTTTGAGGCTTCCATTGTTATCAAGCTTTCTGGTGCAAGGTCTTTGGGGATGACTTGGCTGGTTGTCTGGCATATCTGGGTGTTGGCCTGGCTGGTTGTCTGGGTGTTGACTTGGCTGGTTGTCTGGCACATCTGGGTGTTGACTTGGTTGGTTGTCTGGCATATCTGGGTGTTGACTTGGTTGGTTGTCTGGCACATCTGGGTGTTTACTTGGCTGGTTGTCTGGCATATCTGGGTGTTCACTTGGCTGGTTGTCTGGCATATCTGGGTGTTCACTTGGCTGGTTGTCTGGCATATCTGGGTGTTCACTTGGCTGGTTGTCTGGCACATGTGGGTGTTCACTTAGCTGGTTGTCTGGCACATCTGGGTGTTCACTTGGTTGCTTGCCTGGCACATCGGGGTGTTGACTTGGTTGCTTGCCTGGCACATCGGGTTGTTGACTTGGTTGCTTGCCTGGCACATCGGGTTGTTGACTTGGTTGCTTGCCTGGCACATCGGGTTGTTGACTTGGTTGCTTGCCTGGCACATCGGGGTGTTGACTTGGTTGGTTGCCTGGCACATCGGGGTGTTGACTTGGTTGCTTGCCTGGCACATCGGGTTGTTGACTTGGTTGCTTGCCTGGCACATCGGGTTGTTGACTTGGCTGGTTGTCTGGCACATCGGGTTGTTGACTCGGTTGCTTGCCTGGCACATCGGGGTGTTGACTTGGTTGCTTGCCTGGCACATCGGGGCGTTGTTGACTCGGTTGCTTGTCTGGCATATCGGGGCGTTGTTGACTCGGTTGATTGCCTGGAAGATCGGGGTGTTGACTTTGTTGGTTTTCCTGTACTTTGGAGGCAGGAGTCAGTGTGTCCTGTGATACATCGAGGCTAGTAGTTCTTTCTGGCATACCGGGGTCTAGCACACCAGGGCTCGAGATTGGTTGATTGTAAATATGTTTATCGTCGTCGAAGCTTCGTACCTTCTTTTGTTCCATGTTTCCAGATCTCGTTAGATCGAGGTCTTGGCTCGGTTTGTTGCATGCCACTTTGGGGTGTTCTGACATACCATGGTCTTGTGTCGGTTCCTTGTGTGGCACATCGAGGTCTGGACTCATTTCGTTGTCTGACACATTGGGGCAAGTGCTCGGTGGAGTGTCTGACACATCGACGCCAGGACACAAGTGACTGTCCGTCTGATCAGGGCATTTGCTTGGTTGATTTGGCTGCGTTGATGGTTGAGGTAGGTTTGTTTTAATACGATTATTCCTGCCCCTTTTCTTTGATCTCTTCCTCCTGTTGAATTTCCGATCCACGATTTTCCATAGTTGCTCTGTTATTTCACCTATACCATCTTTATCACACACCTGTGGGTGCTCTTGTATAACGGTCTTTCTCTGTACATTAGTCCTCCTGGAATCTGATTGGTCCGATGTTTCACTATCTGTTGTCAAGATCTTGGCTTCAGTTCCGGTCACTGTGTCCTCATCCCGGAAGACATCTGTGACATCTTTCTGGCTGGCGTGCGTGGTAGCAGGCCCACTCGAGACGTCCTGAGTGTCGCCATACGTCGTCTCCCATTTCTTCTTTTTATGCAGCATATCGAACGTAATCGTCAGATTTGCTTCCCTTTTAGTATAACAACATTTAATGGTGTAGGCCTTTACAGGATACCTCAGCAGAGGTTCAATCTCCATCCTAAGATGCGACGGAAGCACTTTGTTCAAGTCAGCAGGCATGGCTATACGTTCGTGACTTGTCGCATTTCAGTTCAGTATGAGACG